TGTATTTAATTCTTATTTATTTTTTAGGGGTTTTTACTAATTAGTTTTGTTTGTCTACGTTCGTTTTTTATTCATTGTTTTTTTTTTGTTTTTTTTTTTTTTTTTTTTAAATAAGCTTTAAAAGCAAGTTAGTTATCTTTGGTTCTTATTTCTTTAAATTAATGTTTTTTGGGGGTTTTTTTCTTTTCTTTTTTGCTTAAAAATAAAATTTTCGAAATTATATGACAATTTAATTTTTGAATAAATTTTAGGTTAGTTCAATAATGAAACCGTCAAAAAAAAAAAAAACTGAAAGAATTTGTTGAATCTTTTTACCGTAAACGTAATCGAATCATTTCTCATGTAGAGATTTTTCTCTTCCTCTCACCAAATTAATTGACTCTTTCTTTCTTATGTGCTTCTTAATCTTATGTAAATTAACTGGATTTAATTAAGTTTACTGTAAGAAGAAGTTGTGTAGTGTCACGCTGGAAGAAGAAAAGAGATCTTTTTTTTCTTTTTAATTATTTCTTTAAAAGACATAATTAAAACTTCCGTAAGAAAATTACTTATTTTTTTGTTTGTATGTTTTTACTTTTATGTTCCTTTCTTTCTAAATTTATATATTTTCAATTTTGGTTCTTTAGTCATTACATTGTTGGAGGAAAAAGACGCACTACTAAGTTAAACTACACTACACGTTTTTCTTTAATTTTTTTATATTTTAAAAATATGTTCAAGTTTGTTTTCTTTTTGTACCAGTGGGATATCGGTAATTTGTTTTTGTTTATTATTTCGTATTAGTTCGTGTAGTTTATTTTAAAACTAACTGTATTTATTTTTTTTCTCTCCATACCCCACGAGATGGAAAATGTCTCTTCTTGTGTGAAGGGATCCTTCAGATCCCTCCCACCATCTTCTCCATAAAAAGAACTTTCTTACTTTCACAAGTTATACACGTGATATTGTGAGGAGTGGTAAAAAATTAAATGAATGAGTTAGAGAGAGGAAAAAAAAAAAAAAAGAAACTTGTGTAAGTTCCTGATCATTTACAAAAAATAAAGATTTAAATCTTGAAATTCGCTTAAATCAATTTTAGCACTTTTTAGCTTTAAAGTAACTTTGCTGAAAATGAATTTGATAAAAATATAAAGTTTAAATTTTTCTGCAACTTTTATATACAAGAACATTTTTCAAATTACAAAAATATTATTTTCACTTAAGCTTTTTAGTTACACCTTTTTTTAAATAATTGTTCTGTGTTGTGTTATCTCTTCTTTCCCTTCGAAATCGTTTTTATTTTAGGCTGTTGTAAATATTGCTTATTTAAATTATGTTTAATTCCTGATAAATTGACAATCGAGATTTAATTACCAAAAAAAAAAGAATTTGAAACCAATCAGTCCATTTTTATAATCATTACATTAATTTTACAAAAAGTAATTTCTACTTGAAAATTGTTCCACTAGTGACTAGTCTAGTCTTTTCAATTTTATTTGTTATTAAATTAATTATTAATAATGGGGTTCGTTTTCTAGTACTTCGCTGTTTAATAATTGATGTTATTGCTGTGATGTAGTTATTTAATTATTTATGTTTGAATATTGACTTTTAAATACTGTTTCACTGATTTTTTTTTTTTTTTTTTTTTTTTTTTTTTTTAAGTGCTCCAATCACTCATGTCAGTTTAAAAAAAAAAAAAAAAGATCTGTCTGGATTTGAGAGTGTAACTTGCCATAGTCGCTATTGTCATTTGTTGACAGCCTATATTTCCATTTCCTAAATTTGTAATATTAATCAGAAATTAGAAAAAATTAAATGACTTTTCTTAATTAAAAAAAAAAAAATAACAAAAACCAAAAACACTTAAAATCATTTTTGACTTGGTGATGAAGGTTTTTTGTCTCTTCTATTAAAATCCCTTGTTACATTCAAATTCAATCATTTAAAAATTATTAACCAATGATTCAAATTAATCCATTTAAGTTTTGTGTTGAAATTTATTCCAAATATTTTTCAAACATTCTTTAGAAGTAAGCAAAAAAGTAAAATAAAGGCACTCGAAATTTAAATTGGTATTTAATTTCAATGTCCACATACTGATGATATAAAAAATTTAAACAACAATTTTTTTCAGCACAATCTCCTTTGTCAATGCACTTCTGTAAAAATATTAATCACACAAATTAAACATTATACAGTGAAAATTTCATATCAAAATATTGCAAAACTCCGCCATTAATGTCAATGTGGCTCAGGCAACTCCGCCATTAATGTCAATGTGGCTCAGGCAACTCCGCCATTAATGTCAATGTGGCTCAGGCAACTCCGCCATTAATGTCAATGTGGCTCATTTAATGTCAATGTGGCTCAGGCAACTCCGCCATTAATGTCAATGTGGCTCAGGCAACTCCGCCATTAATGTCAATGTGGCTCAGGCAACTCCGCCATTAATGTCAATGTGGCTCAGGCAACTCCACCATTAATGTCAATGTGGCTTAAGCAACTCAAAAAGAGGAAAACAAAATTCAATGAAAACAGTTACTAAATGAATTATTTTATAATGTATGTAAGAAGTCTACCAATTCAGTTATGTTGAAATGTCTTTTTTTATTTATTAAACCCAAATATAAAAAGATTAAGCATCTTGAGTATTAAGCCTTGCATAAAAATTAAGTAACCTGAGTACTGGTCAAAATCATAAGCTGCTTTTAAAAAAAAAAATGCAATCGGCCAGAATTTCAACTCGGCTCATTGTTTTTTGTTGTTTTTTTTCCCTCCCCTATAGCAAGGGCAGGCAAACATTTTTTTTATGGTGGGCCATAACAGCAATAACAATTTGATTTTCACAGAGGCAATATAAATCACAATCATGTGCATGTTATTTACTTGGACACATTTTGTGAACAGAGTGCATGAATGTATAAGAAATTAGTTTAATATATTTGCTACTATTAATGAGATTGTACATCTGAGAAAAAATATTTTGTAATAATAAATTCTTGTTAAATCTTGTGAAACATCTAAAGTGCAAGAATGACATCCTATGTGCACACAGGCACCTAGATCCCTATATTAGTTTACACTGTGCTAATGTCTTTTAAACAACAAAGTGTGGGACATAACAATCCAGATGCCTGTGGTAATATGATATATATTTTGTCGATTTTTTTTTTTTTTTTTTGTAGGAAATGTGTTTCCTGATAATTGGGGTACACTATATATGTACATACATACACACACATATATATATATATATATATATATATATATATATATATATATATATAAAATAGAGAGTTATTTTTGTTAATTCTTAAGTACAAAACTATATAAATTCATTTTCATCATGTTCAGGAGGTTTTATTAAAATTTTAATCATTGCTTTTTAAGACAAAGATTGCTGAGGAGTGGAGGTAGTTAAAATAATAGTGGTGTCAAAGGAAAAACCATCATTTTTTTTTTTTTTTTTACAGGCACAAAGGTCCAAGATTACAACATGTCATTTGTTTTTTGTTAATTTTTTTATTGCATAATAGATTGAGAATTATTATCCATCAATAATCAGTAAAATATTTTTTAAACTTACTTTTACTATTACATCAATGTTCAGAGACCTCATGAGAAAAAACATTTTAGACAAATATGTGTTTTCAACATAATCTCTTCCTTTGTCACTGCACTATTGTAAATATTAAACATTATACAGTGAAAATTTCACATCAAAATACTGTCAGGCTACTGATTTATTGATCACACCCATTCACAATACCATTATGTGCTAAATAATATTTGTTAAAAGTTCAGGTACTGGACTATATGTCTTGAACCTGTAAATTCTTTAGTCTTTTCTTTTCTACCTTCTGTAGGAGTTTCTGTATGTGATAGCAGTGTGTCATCTGCATATCTTATGTTGTGACAGTTGACTTTAGTTATTTTTCTTTAAAAAAACATACCTCCTTGGTGGTGTAGGTAGTTGTGAATTCATCATCAAAGCCAGTGGTCTCTGAAATGCAGATTATTTCAAAAACTGATTTAAAGGTAGGAATGCCTGCCCCCACTTATTACATTGGTGCACTAAAATCAATCTACACACATTTCAGTCCTATTCCCTATTTAGCTAAGGTTTGTAAATGTCCAAAGTTTTTAGAACATTTGACACCAACAGACAGATGAAAAGAGTGCATAACCTGCCTAATGAGCTTATGGAAATGGTTGGCAGAACATGGATTAGGAGAGCAAAAGCACAAACTTTACTATGACCTACAAAGGAAGAAAATTGTGGAGAGCAATGATTGCCTACATCCTGAATGAACAAAGCACATAGAAGTTTACTGAATTATAAAAGATTTAATAATTATGAGTATGATTTCTGGGATCAGGAGTTGTTATTTAGAGTCAAACTAATGTCCTCATCTTTGTTATTATCGCAATGTTTCAACTGTTGTGCTCTGGTCTTTTTCAGGAGTCTGTTAATCCAGATAACCATCAAAGAATTTCAAATTAAATGCTTTATTTAATTTGATACATCAAACATGAATAAGGCGTTCTCTTCTCCTCCTCCTCTTCTCTTTTCTCTTAGTTTACTTTCCTTGTTTACTTTTTTGTTTTTGTTTTTTCTCTTCTTTTTCTCTTTCTTAGTTCATTTTATTTGTAAAAAAAAAAAATGCCCACACGGTATAAATACAATTGTTTCTTCACCTTTGTAAACCTTTCCTCTTAACCTGGCACATTCTTTAAATTCATTCCAACTTACGACAATTTGCCTCTGACACATTTTGTAAACAATGCTTGGATGACATGTTGACAGTTGTAACTTTTATCATTTCATGAGACATTATTGTAATTGCATGCCTCAAAATTTATTTTTTCTAATGTGAAATAAAAAAAAATATTTTTATATCCTACCTTTTCTCATTTGTCTATCATAAACTGCATTTCTTTTTTTTTTCTTGACAGCACCATTTATAAAATTTGCTTTTTTTTTTTTTTTTTTTTTTTTTTTTTTTTTTTTTTTGCAGTTTGAAAATTGAAGACAGTGAAGATGAAAGTCAGGAAAAAAGCTATAAGAACGGTAAAATACCAGTTAAAAAATGTGTGGTACGTTCTTTTTTTCTTTTCTTTTTGTCTAATGCACTTTTATTAACCCTTAAATTGCATGCATCAGCATCGATTGATGTCTCATTGGTGATCAACAAATATCACCAATTGATGATTTTAAACATTTTCCAATCACGCAGTAAAATCATCATTTATCTCCCCACACTGCAAAAAAATTTTAACAATCTAAAAATATTTTTTAGCTTTAAATAACCTGCAACAATCTGATAAGCCATAGAAAACAAATCAATCCATGAACTTCCTGTCCTTTGTGGCTCTTAATAAACTTTGTCTTTTCACTGTCTCTCTTAACCCTTGCTCTAAAATCCATTTACTCAAGCTTACTAGTTATCTGTCCATGTTTCTGAAATGAGGTATTATGTACATTATTTAAATTATTATCCTTCTTCAGGTGGTTGGAATGTTGAACTGTACCCTTTATTTCGCTCACTGGGGTAGACTGTTCTAGTTCCACGTGCTATGTTTAATGAATGTCAGTTATCTCCTGTTAATTTCCCTCTGAAAGTTCTCCACTACCTTAACACACACTCTTTGGGTGCTGTCACTGGATCTAACTAACACCATGTGTCCTTGAGGACATCTGTGTATGAATTTCTGGGTATTATAAACCTAATGTCTTCAGCAACCATTTTTACCAATGCTCATATTGCAATTTTTTTTTTTGCTGTTATCATTGCATAAAAATCTCATGAGCCAACCAAGCATAGAAATGAATACAATATGGGAACTAGTAATAAGGAGTGCCAGAGAAAAGCGATAACAACAAAAGTTGCAATATGAGCTCTGGTAAAAATGGTTGAAGACATTAGGTTTATAGTACACAGATGTCCTCATGGCATAGTGGATAAAGGTGTTAGATCCAGTGACAGGACCCAACGAGTGTGAGTTCAATACCAGGTTAAGGCAGTGGAGAACTTTCAGAGGGAAATTAACAGGAGATAACTGACATCCATTAAACATGGCACATGGAACTAGAACAGTTTACCCCAGTGAGCGAAATAAAGGGTTAAGTTCGACATTCCAACCACCTGAAGAAGGCCGGAGCGTACAACAGCGAAAACATTGTAATAAATACAGGTGACAAAGATGAAAACAATAGTCCAAATAATGTAAATAATGTGCTTACAAGATATGTTATGAATTGTTTTCCTCTGTCACGTGCGTATCAAATTTTCCAAGCCCTCGTTCTTTGTGCTCTAGAAATTTCAACTGTCTCTTCCCACTCAAGCACATTTTTCAGTGAATAAAATGTTTATATAGTAGTTTGCTTAGTCAGGTACAAAGCAACAATTTGTTTACAGTACCTGGTGGTGTTCCTAAGCAGTTACTCATCTAAGTACTGATCAAGTTCAGTGTTGCTTAACCCTTAGCGCTCTATAGATGATTATTTTTGCCAAGCAAAATGTTAGTCCTGACAATACAATTTGAATTTCTTGGTTATGAAGTAATATCTTTCTATGGCAACACTATACAAAAACGCTATATTTTGAGTGGATTTCATATATTCTAAGAGGGAAGTAATACTTATAAATGATGCAGACTGCTAAATGTTAACTTTGACGACAAGATGAAAACCAATGTTTTTGCATGATTTGACCAAAAGCACCAAGGATAAAAATCAAACTAGTAGAAATAGTCAAAAAGATTAGCTTGTTAACCATTGCTTCACAGTGAGGTGACCTGATATAGTAAGAAACAAAATGTTTATCTTTTGTTTTTTCTTTTAATAAATTCATCCAGATAAAAAAAATATTTGCATCTATAATGTGCTGAAAAGTTCTCAGCCCAACACCCTCTTTAAAGTCTGACTGAACATCAGAATTCTTTTTAGAATCCTTTCTTGGTTGGGACAAAAACTTTACAATGCTTCCTTATATTTAATGTTTATTTACAATGCTTCCTATTCTGCTTTCCACTATTTTTATTTATTTATTTTTTTTTTTTTTTTTTTCATATCAGAAACCTGGTCCCGGTGAACATCAGCTGCAATTCAACTATTCTCTGTGGTTTTCTCGACGTTCACCTGGTAAACAAACACAGAATTATGTTCAAAATCTCAAATATATTACCACGTTTGCATCAGTAAGTTTTTCCTTTTTTTTTTTTCTCCCCCAATATAAATTTTTCAAGCTGGATCTTATAATATTTTGACAAAATGACTCTAAAAACAAACATTATTTGATGAAGTATTCCTTTTTATATATATATATATATATATATATATATATATATATATATATATTAGCCTTTTCTTTTATCGAAGAATATATTTTCTTCTTTACTGATCATTTCCTTTACGATGGTGGCATTGGAGAGCCAATGGCTAATGACTGTGTGGTGGTGGAGGGCAAGGTTGATTTTTGTCAAGCCTTTGTCTCTTATCATTTGACTTCTTCCTTTTCTCTTCTGGTGGCTTCGAAGATTTTGGTTCCAATGGTGATGGAACATCACCTGTTGTTACAGTCTCAGGTTTGTGTTTCAAAGGATTTAGGCCCAAGTACAGTGGGTTTCAGTATTGTTTTGAGTTAGTCCTTATATCTTCGAAGAGAGCCACCCAGAAATCTTTTCCCTGAAGTGAGCTCACTAAATAAGACTGGACATGGAAACCTTGCTACATATCCACCCTGTTGGCTAGGGCTTCAGGATATGCCAACTGCATCTCTTCCAGGAATTTTAGTTTTTGCTTATTATTTATATGTAATATAGATATATCCAACTAATATCCATCTAAACTGTGAGTGTATATATGAGTGTTCCTTTAAATACTGTGATATTGAACTATTCTCATCCAAATGGAATCTAAATCTTTTTGTTAGCATCATCATAGTAAAACCAACATATGTATTAAAAATGAAAAAAGATTAATTAAAATTAAAAGATTAAAAATGAAAAAGTTTTCCCCCTATACTGTGAAAAAAATATGTGAATTTTGAAATTTTGATTGCTGCATAATACAGTTGAAATACATATACACATTCACAGACTATTTAACCCCAGACCCCACCCCGAAGATGATCTCAGATGAGATTGAAAGTACTTGGGTAAAATAAAAATTATTTGAAAGAAAATTTTGTTATTTTTTCTTAATCAATTTTCTAAGGCTACCAAGAAATTAATCCATGAACTTGAAAGGATCACAGCCAAAATAAAACTATATGTGTCTAAATTACTTAGCCAAACTTGTTTGAAAAAAAAAAAAAAAATATATATATATATATATATATAAAAACACTTTCTACATTAAGGAACTATATCCATCAGCAATGCCTTTGATTCAGAGATTGAAGGTTTTGAGGAGTGTGGAACCACATCTTAATGGCTGTTGTTTCCAGGTCCCCCCTAAACCGAGGTGGATGGTAGCAGCTGTTAGGGTCCCAGCTATGACCAAATAGTGAACCTCCAAACAAAAACACTATAAAAGTATAAAAATATATATTTTTAGTAAAATTACCAATAATACATATTTATAGTAGGAATACCAACAATACATTTTATCTGAAGTTGAAGGCATGCAATTATGTTGTTAGTTTAGTTGACAACATAAAATTGTGTTCAAAATATTTAAATTTCAGCATAAATAACCCATAGACGTTTATATGCTGCTAAAAGAAATCAACCAACCAATCAACATGAAAGAATTCTTTCATAACATTAATCTATATAATATCCTAGAATTTCTTAAAGAAATGAAACTGTATTCCAAAATATAACGGTGCTGTAAGCTTGGATGTGCAAGTGGTGTTCTGGATAATGGCTCCAAACTGTCAGACAGCCAAGTTCCAATTCCAGTTGATATTCATTATATTCGCTTACACACAATACCCATGGGAAAGGTATGACTCCACCTCTTTTCCCACCAGCTATGGGTTAATTAACAAAACTGGTATCACTAAACTATTATTACCTCAAAAAAAATTCTTACAATCTAAAAAGTATTTTCTGTCTAAGTAACCTGCAATAAGTTGATAAGCTGTAGAAAATGGATCAGCCAATCAACACTTGTCAGACTCCAGTTTCACTAGTGACCCTTGTGAACTCCAAGAGAACATACTTCCATATCATCACAGCTTGCACAACCCCCTGATGACAAACTCGATCCATAGCCTCATGTAATATTTTCCACATGCCCATAACTGTTTGCCTGAAAAAAAAAAATCTGGAAACCTGGCTCATTTGACCAGGCAACACAGTACCATTCTGCTTCTCAGGCCCAGGTGAGGCATAGTGACTGATGCTGTGATGTCAATATTGCTACTTTTGTTGGCCAATGGTTATGAAACCCCATGGAATATAATGTATACTGTAGATTACATTGGTAGGATTAAATGGCAACAACATTGAATGTCTGCCTACAATTCACATATTTCTTGGTATTCCCTTGCTACTGTTGCCTGAGAAAAACTTACATAAGTTGGTACCTTACACATTTGAGTGCCCTCTATCTTTCTGGCTTCAACAATCATTCTGCAATAAAAAGATATTAAATTCAGTCCAATGGCTACCACAATTACACTACCTCTTTACCTATTCAATCATGTATACAATATCCATGTGAGTCAATTTCTACAAGTGAGAGAGATGAAAATCACCCATTATATAGCTATCTCTAATTTTTTTATGCGTACTCCAATTTATATTACAGTGGGCTCCTGCACCTTATCTTTGATTTGACTTTAGTCAAAACCAGGAATAAACAATTTCTAAGTTTTATTTAATAATACTCAAAATTCAGCCATAGTGATACTGATAATTTTCATATGGTAATAAGAAATTATAAGACAATTCTTTTATGTGGAAAAAATCAATTTAATAAGAAAAGAAAACATGATTGAAGTTGTTAACATCTACAGTAAGAAAAATGAATTGTAACTTTTTTATTGCAGTATATTATAATTGTTCTGTTTAATTACTAATTATTGTACTCAATTTATTAATTAAACCTTTCCATATGTTAGTCTAACAATTCCATTCTTAGGACTGAACCACCAGACTATCTACATTGATGATTTGATAATACTGGTGAAGACCTGTGCAGAACCAGCCACACTTTTCAAAAGCATTGACAACAAATGGTGTACAATGCCATGAAGTCCCCAAACATAATATGGTTCAATTCTATCCAGTTTTAGGCATCTACTAAAATATTTTTGTTATTTCATATATACTTTTTTAGGGTATTGTCTTTTTGTTTATCTTAGACAATATCTTTTCAATATCTGTTTATATTTTTGAGATGAGGTATTGTAACTATTTACACTATTCAAACTGTTGTCCTCATCTTTATTGCCATATTCACAAATTCATGGATGAAATAATGTTTGGTTTGAAATTCCAAGAAATATCACCTGAAGAAGGCCAGAGCATACAATGGCTGAAATGTCAATAATATGGCCATAAAGATGAGGACAACGGTTCAAACAATTTAAATAGTGTAAATACAATATCTTTTGTTTAATTTCCTGATATGTTTGGATGAAAGAGAGAAGGAAAAGTTCCCAGTAAATTGCAAAGATTTTTACTTCCTCAGATTTCTTTAAACGATTAAATAAATTAAGGGTTAGTGCTCTGGTCAGCTCTCTTTATTGTTCTTCTCCTCAAGTGCGTGTTCCTTCAGAAACAAGTAGCAGCCTACTTTGTCAGCAGTACGGAAGCAGCCACATGTTACTTGTATTTTTTATAACATATTGGCAAAATTGAAAATACTGGTGCAAATCGCATGGCTGATTTGCATGCATCTGTATGCTGTATATGCAAATCCCTTCACCTAATAAATTTACTGATCTCAAACGAGTTAAGTATTACACATTTGATCTCAGTACTGTGAGGTTATGTTAGTCAAAAATATAAGAGTAAAGACTGGAAGCTACTGAACACTGTTACAAGTCAAAAATCTAGTTGATCTGAAATTGACAGACATTAAATTTGATCTAAAGCTAACCCTGGAATTTGATGTGTCAGTATCTATGCATGAATGGGTCCAAAAAAAAAAAATGGTGTGCAGCCTGTGTCAGGTAAAACTGACTGAGCAGGTCCTGCTGCACCTACTTAAAGGAACATTTGCCATTAACCTGCAACTGAGTGCAGAGCAGAGATCAAATGCAAATTGGATAAAGAATGTGTAACACACTGCCTATGCAACAAATTAATTTGTGGTGTACAAACAATTTGCAACATAGTGCCTGCAGCTAGGTGAATCCATGATGTATACCTAGCAGAAGTGTGGAAATTAACTATTATTTGATGGGGTACCTGAACATGGTTTGACATACATGTTTATAGCAGGCCTGCCTGCCCAGGTAAACCAGCTTCTTCATGTCTTTTTCATGATGGATGCATTGACCAGCTGCTAGCCCAGGTAATTATGAAGGACAAGACAGTAGTGGTATGACAATTAGTTTGGTTGCATCAAACAACACTTTAACTTTGAGTCTTGCCATTGTTTCTTTCTCTTTTTGAATATATTATATAGAATTACAATAAGCTTACTCTTCTTCCTTGCTTGTTGCAAAACAACAACCCATCTAAAATTATGCTTTCCTTATTGAAATTAAATAAACGCACATCTTCACCCATAACCTGTGATATCATAAGATTTATGAAACTGGCGGAAAAGAAACGATCATAGTTGTCTTTTAGCCCTGACTGCATTTAAAACCCAGCAGAGTTTCAGCTTATTGTTACCTACCAATGTTTACCTGTATTCTACTCTTGAACACACATTGGATTAATGAAACAAGCATTCTAAAAGCTAATAAAGGTGCTGAGAAATGGAAAAATTTTATTAGAAAGAACAAAGAGTGTTGGATTGCTATGTGATATTCATCTTCTTATATGGCAGTGAATATTGAACAATTTCCCCACGGATGAGGAAAAGACTAGAGGCAGCAAAGATGTAATTCTACAGAAAGATACTCAAGGAAGTCTTAAGGAAAAAGTAACAGAAAGAACATTTAGAATCGGGAAAAGACAGCTGAAATTCCTTTGACACATAATGAGAAAAGAGGGCTTGGAAAATATAATCCTCATGGAGCATATATATATATATATATATATATATATATATATATATATATATATATATAGGCATGTTTGATTGAATAAATTACAAACCTTATGTCTGCTTATTTTTTATCATAATCCTTCCATATTCACAAATATTTTTTTGTATATTACAATCAAATGAGGCATTTAATGCACTGTAACAGTGAGAATCACTTTTATTTCTCCAAGTCTTTTCCATCTCTTTCTGAGATCATCATCAGTAGTGCAATTGGTAAAGCAAAAACTGTGTTGCTATCCATTACTGAATTTTTTTCTTTTGCATTTAAACGATGTGGCTGACAGTTATGCTTTAGTAGTGTTTATGTCAGCCATAGCATTTAAATACAAAAGAAAAAAATTCAATAATGGATAACTACACATAGTTTTTGCTTTACTAGTTGCAGCCCTGATTGATGATCTCAGAAAAAAATGGAAAGTACTTGGGAAAATAAAAGTGATTCTCACTTTTACAGTGCATTTCTTGCCTTATTTAATTGTAATATATGGAAAAATATTCATGAATATGAAAGGATTATGATAAAAATAAGTAGACATAATATTTGTAACTTATTCAGTCAGGCATGCCTAAAAGAAAATTTGATACCTAAATACTTAATTGTGTGTGTGTATATACATACACACACCCTTTTTTTTTTTTTTTTTTAATCATTTCCTCCAAGCAAGAAACACAATTCTAAACAAGGGATAAACCTCACTTCCTATTCAAAAGACTGACTTCCTCTCCTTTTTTGTTCAGAAAACAAATTTTGAATGAATATCTCATTCCAACCTGCACTTTTTTGGGTTCCAAAAACAATTTTGAATGAATTTTCCAATCTGGACTGGGGAAAATTTCCACCATCCCCAGAAAAAAAAAGGCTCTCAATTGTCAAAGCAATAAACCTGTACTTGAAACTATATTATCCTTGCAAAGATGCTGATATAATAAACTTATATTTATCTTCCTCATGATTTGAATGCTTATAAATTCTGTGTCTGGACTTTCACCTACCCATCCACCTCTTTCTTATCATTTCAGGTGGAACAGTTCTGGGCCTTTTACAGTCATTTAGTACGACCAACAGAATTATCCGGACACAGTGATTACCACATATTCAAAGATGGTATACGGCCAATGTGGGAGGTAAGTAATTTTTACTTTTCGATGCAAAAACTTTTTCAGCATTCTCGTATGAACTTGACAGAATAGTCAAAAAATGAAAAAGCTTTTGGAGTCATTAAAAAAAAAAAGAATGGAATCAATTATCAAACATGCTTTGAAAAACTTTTGCAATGAATTCCAAAAATTTGTTTCTGCAATAATCAAAGCTAAAGGAGGATATTTTGATGAGAGCAAAATTTAATCATAAAAGGCTTTTTTTCTTCTTTGTCATAATAAAATCTCTAATAAAAATCACGTCTTGCTTTTTTTAACATGTATAACAATTTTCTCTTATTTAAAGTAAAAATCAATTACTTTTTGGGCCAATTTAAGAAATTACCAAAGGTGGCCTCAAACCTTTGAATTGTGTGTGTGTGAGTTTCGTTAAAAACGACTGACAAGGTTCATTAAAAACAACTGAGAGGTACTGCATTTAAATTTTTTATTTAATTTTTCTTGTGCTTTTATAATTTTTTTCCCTTCTGGATATAAATTATATAGAAATTCTGTATTTATGAGCACTTTCACCTATTCTTTTAGCCATTATAAAGGACCATTTCATTTTTACTTTTAGCTGAATAATTGATAGTGGCTAAAGGAATAGCCGAAAGCACTTGGACATACAGATCATCCGGATAATATCTACATAATTTATGTCCAGAAAAGAAAAAAAAATATGAGAACACAAGAAAAATTAAATAAAATTTTAACCTCAGTACCATGTCAGTTGTTTTTAATGAACCTTGTATAAAAGAGGGTTTGCTACCAAAATGCACTAATATATAAATATATATATATATGAAGGGAGAGAGAGATAAAGTGTCTTGCATTTATTAAAGATTCATGGGAGAATGAAATATGAAAAAAAAAAAAAAATCTTGTTTTCATATGTTAGATTTATGAAAATGTCCTCTTTACTCCTTATCCTATCATTCTGTCGGATTCCAATCCATATTTGGTCTATATTTCATCCCAATCTACACACACACACTTCGTTAATGACCACTGACAAGGCACTGCAATTAAGCTTTTTATTTAATTTTTCTTGTGTTTGTACAAGTGTTTTCTTTTTCTGGACACAAAATGTGTAAAAACTGTCCAAAAGTTCTGCATATCTGAATACTTTACCAAGGACAAGTTTTATTTTTTATTGAATGTGTGAATTTTTTTATTTATGAGGTTATAGGGAAGCAAGAAGCCAGAGGAATTTTACAAATGAAAATTGCAATAGAAGAAACTCTTAGCATAGAACTTACGGTTACTCTAAGCATTTCAACTGCAGAATAATGAGACCATGCCACATATCTAGTACTGTGCTTAAATTGATAAAGTGTAGGTTCCATTGTTCATCATATCAATTAACATGAAAGTATTTATAGAAAAGGTATAGAGAAGCTACATTATGACAGTAGGAAAATGACTGAATGCCAAGATGCCAGTTTAGGACAAATAACATTTCAGATTCGTTGGATTTTATCAAAAATCTTTAAATATAAATATATAGCAGGAAAACCAGACCATATGTGGCAGCAATATTCAAAGCAAGGACAAATGGTAAACTTATAAATATGTAAGATGGTCTGGAGCAAAAATTGTCTAGCTCGACAGAGTGAACCAACTTTCCTAGCTGCAGATTTAGCAATTGATTCAATATACTCTTTCCACTTCATGTCAGCAGAAAATATTGGACCAAGAATCTGCAATGTCACTCTCTTGGAGGTTAACATCAGATATATATATCTCCCAATATCCCCCAATTCATAACTCAGATCTTGCATTGTTATGATTGTGCCCAGCACCTTTAGGATAGGCTTGCTGTAAAAGTTAAATAATCTGTCTGTCTATATCTATCTGTATGTTATTAGCCCACTAATGCCAACAATAAAATCCAGTATCAATTATGGGTTTATAGAAATCCAGCATTATAAGTTTCTAACTATAACCCATTAAGGCCCACTGTTCCAAAAATGTGTTAACACCCAAACAATTTTTATAATTGAATTCATTTCAGAAATTGTGTTTCTATCAAGCTCACTAAGATTCATTGGCAAAGTTTAACAATTCTACCCACAAAAGAACAGTGTGCAAAAGGGATGTTTGGGTTTTATTAAAATCCTGAAATTAGCCTTTTAAAACAATCAAAACTGCTGTGGGTGTCAAGGGAGTATACAGTAATAGCAGTTTTGAGAGAGAGAAAAAACATCCTTTTTGAGACATGGTGTGTGTTTTTTTTGTTTTTTTTTAGTCTTCTAAGCACAGCTAAAAATGAATTTTTACCTGGGTTTGAACACTGACATCTAGCACTGATGCATCTGTTTCAGAAGTCACAAATCTATATCCCCAAAATACCCATGAAAAGGCTTGTTTAAGAATTACCATATTTGCTGCATATATGACCTCTTCCCCTCGACTACAAAAAAATAAATATCTCTATATCTCATATATGAAATTAAGGTATCTGCCAATCTATTTGTTTACTGAGCCTAAGTATAATACTGTAATGTCATAAATTGGCTGGTATTTGGAGGCGGGCAGGGGTCTTAGTTTCAATTATTTCAAAGATGCTGTTGCTGGAAATGGATATTAGTCTAGTATTGGATTGTTATCCTCCAGATGTAACAAAATGAGTCTCTCATCAAAATATTTTTAACACTGTACTGCATTAGTAGTGTTAGGATATTAGATTCAAATGTTAAAGGTTACTTCTCAGAATCTTTATTTAGATATTAACTTCTAATGACTTGGTGCTTAAAAGTTCTTAGCTTGTCCCACTTCCCTAAAACCAGTATTCTGGAAAGTGTTAAGAAACTTTCATACTCCTTCATGTACTTAATATTATTAAACTTGATTGCTTTTTTATGTTATTCTATTAATTGAAAGCCCAGTTTCATTAAATAAATAAAAATGTTTTTTTAATTGGTTTCACCCCATCCAATGGAGTAAAACCACTAAGACATAAGGGGTTACTGGGTGTGAAAGAATTAGGAACAGAAACATTATTAATGCGCAGGAAGAGAAAAGCATAATCAGGATGACTGTAGATAGCAATTGACATTGCTTTTAAATTTTTGCAGAATAAAGTTTGCTGGAAAGCATGGAGCCAGAAGTGCAAGAGAAGAAACTGTTAACATAGAATTTATGGTTACATTTAGCCAGCTCACCTGTAAATTAACGAGATCTTGTCTAGTACTGCACTTTAATTCAAAAAGTCTTGGTACCATAGCAAAGAGCTCATCCAAACAATTACCATGAAAGTATATTTACAGAAAAAATATGTAAGCAACCTTATGGTGGTGGGAAAGTGACTGAAGCCTAGCTGCCAGGTCAGAACCAATAATATTGCTGATTTTTCTTTAGATTTTATCAAGGAGTTCAAGGTAAATAGTAGGGGCACCAGACCATATGTGTCTTGGTGACTGAGTAATCTTGAAGCTTGATTATCTACCTGTTTCTATTGACTGATTGAACTCAGATTATCAGTTTACCAATAGTGGCTGGCTGCTCATATCCAAGTATACCTGTCTACTAGGGCAGCATGCCAATCTCTATTACAGGCGCCCACTCAAACACATTTGTGTTTGTTCAACACCCACAGAGCTCACCTGTGGTTTATACTGAAACTATGCTGAGCAGACCTTAATTACAGTTTCTCTGGAGAGAGCACATTATCTCACATGATCAACAATTTGAACAAGGTCATTATGCTGAAACCCCCAGTCATGATGACTTGTGACAACACAACCATCAACTGCTCCCAAATAGTTCCAATTTCACTCACACGGCTTGGTTCAACCCATGGTATGGTTTTCAGCCATTTTCCAAAGGTGCCATACATTGGGATCACCTCCTCAGGCTGATAGCATCAAGAAATCACCTTCCTGATCATCTAATTGACCATGATAAGACCTGAACCCAGATCTCATCGTTGAAACACAAACATTTTGACCACTTCCTTATTCAGTTTTCTAGTAAAACATTCAGGTATGTTAATCATTGTCCTCATTTAAAAAAAGAAAAAAATTGCCTGATAATGGTATGTAACTTTGTTTTAGAGTTTGTAAAATAACATTTATTGTAGTGCTGCTCTATGCTATTAGAAATAGTATAAATCTAATGGCTGTCTGTGTCTGTACAAAAATGGATTGAGAGGCCAATTGTGCTTTGTTAGATGGAGATTTTCCTGCCATTATCTTTGAGGTCCTTGCTGCTGGCAAAAGTGGCATGCCAAAATGAATTACGTTCACATAAAATAAAGCTGTTCATATTAGCAGCTTTATACCAACCACTTGCAATTCTTCAATTAAGATTTGTTGTTAGACAGCCTGTTCTGAAATGTCCAAAGACAGTGTGTGTTGATGAATGGTGAGATCTCAGGGTTCAACAATATAAAACTAAACTTATTCCCCAAAAAAGGTTCATTATCAAAATAACTTTTGCATTGCTTTGTATGTGTTTGCTTGTGCCCTGTTAATGAATCTTTCTGAGCCTTTATCTTATGAAGCTTGAAGAGGAAGACTAATTACTCTGATAAGAAGGGAGTTAAACTTGTTTGGCTATGGGACCAGAAGAGAACAAAGTTCTTTTGTATAGAGCCTACAAAGACAGCATCCCTGGCAAAAAGACTAATTGGTAGACCACCAAAGAGATGAGAAGACCAAATCCGTGTGGAAAACGGGGAATGCTCCTTCTGACATTTAGAAAGGTTGCTTTGGATAGGAATAAAGTTGTATGAACAAGAAATGCTCTTCAGAATTATGCAACTAATGAATAATGAAGTGAATCAAAGGAATGGATAACTGCTCCCCCACCTTCAACCCACAATTGTGTTTTCTTGACATGCAGATTGATTTGATTTGTTTTTTACAACTTATCAACCTTTTGCAGGTTTGTTAAAGCCTCCAATTTTTATTTTGTAGATTGTAAGAATTTCTTTAGGGCTTATAATGATTTATTGATATATCCTACTAATTAACCTATAACAAACTATAATGAACCTGACTGAAATTGGAACTCAGTTCTCCAGTTTCCAATTCTGAGCAGTTATCTATTACATCACCTGCATATCAAAGGTTACAGCACCTGGTATTTTCAAGCAGTCATCTGTCTAGGTACTGACTGGGTTTGACATTGCTCAAGTTTGGTGATTGCATGAGAACTGGTGTTTCAACATGATACGGCTGTAAGCCACTCTTGACCTGAAGATGACGTTTTTATCTTTCTTTTTTCTTTTTTTTTTCTCTCTTCTCTTTTTCTCTCTCTCTCTCTCTCCTCCTCTTTCTCTCTCTTCTCCTCTTTCTTTCTCTCTCTCTTCTCTTCTCCCTCTCCTCTCTTTCTCTTCCTCTTCCTTCCATTCCACCTTTTCTCCTATTTTATTTTTTTTTATCTTTTCTTTCTTTCACTTTTGCTTAAGTGTCATAAAAACAAAAATGTCATACACATCATAAAAATAAATCTTTCACTTGTCTGTACAGCTATGATTATTTAACAAATTATTTTCCTAGGATTCAGCTAATAAAGATGGTGGTAAATGGATAATCCGACTAAAAAAAGGATTAGCAGCACGATGTTGGGAAAATTTAATATTAGCCATGTTGGGAGAACAGTTTATGGTCGGAGAGGAAATCTGTGGAGCAGTCCTTTCTGTCCGCTATCAGGTAAGTTGAGATGTTTTGCTATAGAGTATTGGATTGATAGCAGGAAGTTGTAATATTTTGTCCTGTCTAATGGGCTTATTATTTACATACTTAGATAAAAAAATATAGATCTTTTCTCCTGTTGAATGTACTGTACCCATATTTATGGGAAATATTCTTATTAAACATGTAAGTAAATATATGACTGTTCTCTAATTTAGTACCCTAATCGTGGGGACCTAGAAAAATGTAGAGTGGTTGCAAATCATCACTACCACCAAAATAGGCTCAAATATAATAAACCAATATTTAACTACCCCTGAATCAGACTCAAATATAGTAATAATAATGATTGATTTTAATATTGAATAACCCAATAAGGGTTGACAGGTCATAAAACCATCTAACCCAACCAAAATATTAATGAAATGATCTTTTTTAAATAAAGTTTTACAAATGAGTCATTCCAACTCAAATCAACCAATGGCCACAGGTAAACCTCTCAGGAAAACCTTGTAGAATTTGTAGATGTTCAAATATTAGATCTATATCTTTAATGGCTTTAAAATCAGAGCATTTTGAAATTTCACTGCATTTTTTTTTACATTTTGCTAAATAAGGCTTTCAACAAACTTCTATCATTAATAACTCCAAGGATATTCCATGTACAGATTTGAAACTTGGTGACAATAGTTAATATTTACTGTAAATTACAAAATTCTAAACAGTTTAAGTGTGTCTTATGTACTTTTATTTTTATAATAACTTGCAAATGGCCAAAATGTTAAATACACAATCCACTTCGAGAGTTTCTTATTTACAACGTATGTCAGATACAGCATCCAAATTAATTTTCCTGTCATTCCTGAACTAATAGATTATTTCTATACAGTAACCATATTCAATCCTGTTATAATGTTGGTATTACTGTTTGAAAATTGATTTTTTTTTTTTAATTTTTTTTTTTTTTTTAACATCTTTAAAATTTCCTATTTTCATGATTGAGCCATTAGGCAATTAAAGAAAATTTTGATTTTTTAGTCTTAAGACAATTGAAAAAATTTTTGAAAAAAAGTTTTTATCCATGATATTTTTAATTTTAGCTTAAATTTGATTCTTAAAGTTGTTACTCCACATCTTAAGACAATGTGACAAAAAATTTTTAAAAATTTTGTTCAGATGACCAACAAAAGAAAAAATTTAAAACATTATCCATGTTATTTTAATTTTAAATACAAAATCATGAGTTTCTGTTCCTGTTAAGTAATTTTTAGCACTCTAAATATACAAAATCAGTAAAGCAAAAAAACATTAAGGATAAAAAAACAAACATATTTAGGTTTAAGATAATAGACAATATTTTTTCACAGTAGTTATAATTTCAAACCCAGGAGAATAAGAGTTAATCAGTGAATTATTATATCTATTAAAATAAATATTTAACAATTTTATGTCAACATTATATGCTCTGATGAACATGAATGACAATATGAGACAGAATAATTAATGAAATAATGTTTTAACATCATAGAAAGCAAGTGACAGCACAAACTAAAAGTCACTCTGTGTTACTCTTGATGGGGATATTTTTTTCCTCTCTTAGTCAAGATGATAGTTTTAGTTTTTTTTATCTAAAATTCTAACTGAACTTTTCTACAGAAACACAAATCTCTGAACAATAACCATTATTTTCAAAATTTGTTTTTGTATTATTACTGAATAAGCACTCCAGATTATGAATATCAAAAAAAGAAAAGAAAAAAAAAATTTAATTTCTTGAATTTTAAGAAGGGGTTTCAATTTTCTATGTAAATTCATTGTAAATTGATCCCCCTACACAAACCAAAAAAAAAACCATGATCATATCACATGATTCACATATGCACAAATACCATTGGGAAAGGTATGACTCCATTTCTTCCCTCCAGATATGGGTTAATGTGTAAGAATTCTATCTGAAAAAAATCATTGAACTCAAAAAATTGTTAATGCAGTATTCACTCTCAAAAAAAAAAAAAAATTACTTTTACAATGCAAAAATATTTTGGCTTTAAATAATGCACAAAAGGTTGATAAACTCTAAAAACAAATCAATCCTACTACGTGATAAAGTGTATGCTTGCTTACAAAATTTCAAATAATTTCAAATTAAAATAAAAAAGTTAATATTTATATTATTTAAAGCATAATCTTATTTACTTTTTTCTTGTGTTGTGTTAGAATAAGGCTTACATACAAAATCAAACCATATAATAATTATCAATGTGTACTTATTTATATATTTCCTGTCCCATCTATAGTAGCAAGGGAAGTAGATCAACTTAAGTTAGTAAATTTGTGAATGATTACTTCCCTTAGTTATTTTAATAATCTATGCAAATAAAATGTGTATTGAGACAAAAATATTTCCCAAAATGAACTGTTTAATTCACCAGTTCCTTTACTCCTACCTTTCTTAGATTGCAATCAAAATTTATTCAAGCCTTTCATGTTAGACACTCAAATTCCTTTGTCACTTAAGTGATCATTTTGCTTCAACTTGATCTTGAAATAGGCTTTGTCCTTGGCACCTTTGTCATTCTGTTGCTAATCTTTTGAGAGATATTTCTATTTCACTGTTATATTAAATACATACAGTTTTTAACATGAAAAGATACTGAGCAAAAAGCAATTTATATAATACCAGGAGTAATCAATGAATCATAGATACAATTGAGCATCTTATATATATATATATATATATATATATATATAAAGGGAACTGGATTAATTGAATTCATTGTCCTCCATTTTAATTGTGAATTCTTTATCTTCACTTTATTGAATCTCATTACATTGTTTCAAAATTTTTCTTGCATTGCATCTTACTATTAAAACTTTCTAACAATTGCCATTATTTTTGACATCATAGGTACACTAGTTTTAAATAATTTCAAAACGACCATGAAATAGGAATTTAAAGTATATTCTTACTTCCCTCTTCCACTATTTCTTTTACTTACATTTACTTTAGTCAGTGATCAATTTATAATGAATTTATATAACAAAATGAACTTAAAATTTAGAAAATTGAATTTTTTTTTTTTTCATTCATGATCTGAAGAGCTTAATCAATATAATAAGGAATATATAAATTAGAAATCTATTCTTGTATCTGAACTCTTTCATATTACTTAAATTTTTAAAGAAAGAAATTCTGCTAACCAGCAATTTAAACAAGTTGGATCAAAATGAAATAGAAAAAAACAATGTAACAATAAAATGATTATCAGTTCTTTATTATCTGCCAAATTTCATTTGCTCATCAGGATTAAGTTACTTTTTTCTTTTCTTTTTCTTTTTTAAAGGTAAATACATATATTAACCCTTCTGAACTTGTTTTTTCAACTGATAAGAGAAAAAAGTCTTTTAAAAAGAAATTCAAAATAAATTTTGTGAAGGCGGTACAATATTTCCTTTTATATTTATTTTTTCCTTTCTTGTATCTTTGCCTAGGAGGACATCTTGTCATTATGGAACCGAACAGCCAATGACACAGTGACAACATCACGAATACGAGACACATTGAAGCGAGTCCTCAACTTACCACCAAACACCATCATAGAATACAAAATGCATGTTGACAGTATAAAGTTAGTTGCCCTAAAATGCTACTGGAATAATTTAGTTGAATAACATTTAAATTCAATCATGTGCACTGTTTTATTTATTTTTTTGTTTTTTTGTTTTTACAATTTCTTTGACCTTTTTTTTTTTTTTTTTTTTTTTTATTCCAAATGTCTAGAAAGGCAATATTATTTAAAAAAAAAAAAAAAAATTTTTTTTTTTTTTTTTTTTTTTTTTTATTTATTTCATCGCTGTTACATTTTTCCTTTCTCTTAGTTTCATTTTATGTTAGAATTGCAGTTGATTTATTCTTCCTGGCCACCCACCACACTATAATGTCTATATTAGAATATTTTCAATGACTTAAGAAAACTTTCTTACAATATATTTTTTACCTATTTCTTTTTTTTTTTTTTTTTCTATTACGTCGGTCAACTTTGGTATTGTCAATGGTTAAAAAAGAATTCAATTGCAAAAGGACTATTTTTCCTTTCATTTTAACAGTCATTTTTTTAATGTTAAGAACCAAATGTTAATTTAGTAAGTTGCAAATGATGTTATTTTTTTTTTCACTGTTTATAAAACACTTGATTGGCATCACCAAAAGTGACTAGCAATTCTCTTTTTAATTCTTTTGTTTTCATTTCTCGGATTTCTCTTCAGCATATGTTGGCTTCCGTTTGCTTCTTAATAGATTTTTTTTATTTATTCTCTTCTCTTTTTGTTAGTTATGAAAAACAGATTAGTCAATTTTTTTTCTTGTTTATTTTGCTGGTTGGTTCTAAAAATAATTGATCTTGAATGACTGAAAAATTAAGTGTTTCTTAAAACTCCCTTCTTATTTGTCAAAATATTTCTTTGGATGTTTTTCCTCTTTTTCAAGACTTGTCAAAAAGTGAAATTTCTCCTTTCACCCAACCCCCCGCCCACAAAAGCTGTCTGATATTGTCCGAAAGTATGTATGTTTTTATAAGTAAATATACTTTAATTGAAATGGAATCCCAAACAGTATAAAAAACCCCCCAAAAATTGGAAGAATTGCCTTCAGGTATATTCTAAGGTATTTTAGTCAATCTTTCTTTATTCCCTTTTTGTTTTCTGTCATAAAATCTAGCCAACTTGATCAATCAAGTTATTGATTTCTTTGGGAACACTTGACAGGTTTTGTCTGTGCCTTAGTGTTCCTGTTTTACATCCCACTCCTCCCACTCCACCCACTCCTTACCAATGATGTTCTCCTCCTTGTGGTTCTAACAGTCCTTTTTTTTTTCTCTTTCCTTCTCTCTTCAGAGACAACTCCAGTTACAGAAATACGGATGTATTTGTGAAATGACAATCAGTGAGCTACTACTACTACTCCTACTACTACTACTACTACTCTTCCTACTACTTCGTGCTGAACCTGAAGGACATCATCATATATTTTGTACATCACATTCCCATAGGGGACTTCTTCCTCTCATCCCCACTTTTTTTCTTCTTTTTTTTTTTTTTTTTTTTTTTTTCCTTATATTAAATAATTCTTATATAATATTACTACTACTACTTTACCCACAATTTTTAAAATTCTTTTACTTTCCACTTCTAATTTTTCTTTCTCTCCTTCATCAGTTGGGGGGGGGATTCTTATTTGCTGATAATAACCCTAGTGTAAAATTATATACAAATGAGCATTAAAACAAAGATTTCTAATGGGTTTTCTTCCCTTTCTTTGTGGTGGTGCTAAGTTAGCCTGTTAAAAGACATCATTATTGTAAGTTTTGCACTTGAACCTATTTTGTCCATTAACCATATAACTTTAACTTGAATTGACTCTCTGCATTTTCCAAGACATTTTTTTTTTCTTTTAATGACATGTAAATTTCAACAATTTTTCTTTTTTTTAAACTCCTGCTTAAGTCCTATAACAGAACAGGCAAACTAAGCTTCTCCACACTGGATAGGTGGAGTTCATTACCATAATCATCTAAAAAATATATCTGATTTTGAAACCTGGCTAAAACCCACAAGCAAATAATTCCTTTAAATTCATAAATTATAGAGATTCATTTAGAAACAGAGGGAAAATACTAAACCAGGATCAACTATGGTTTTAGGATATTAAATCGAGAAATGAGTAGGCAAAGTTATCAAAAACTCTTTAGCTCTGCATTTCAATCAAAATGACATTTTTCTTGTGAACAAAGTAGGATTGGAAGGGAGATCTGAACTGATATTGAAATCAATCTCTCTCCTCTTTTCTCTCCTCTCCCTCTATCTCAAACAATACACCTTCACCCATAAAACATTAACCATTCCTTATAAAGGTTAAATGTCCAGACTCCTGTCAAATCAGCAAAGTCCTTTTATTGAATTAATCTTCCTATTAATTTAATTTTTACACACACACTCACATTCTTCTTGTTACAGTAAAAGCACACATACAAAGAATGGAAGTTTCTCAGTTTTTTTTCTCTACTTATCTGTAGATGTGGTAGTTGTATGAAACTTTTACAGAAAATAAAAATTCTTTTAAGTGTCTACAAAAAGAGTAAGCAAGAGAAAAGAGGCTTCCATTTACAAAGAGGTACTAAAAGGATCTCTGCCTGATCCACTTCCCAGAGTTTGACTATATTACCAAACATTAGATTTTTTTTTTTAATCAGGCTTTTCAGCACCCCACTTGTATATTCCAATCCTTATTATTCTTATGACTCTTAAATTGTTTTTGGTTCTTGAGAATAAGTTAGTTATTTGTGTTTTAATTTTTTAGGCTTTCTTTCAGATTGTATTTGATCTTTACACTTTGATAAGATTGTGAATATTGTAGATTCTTAGATACAAAACTTACATTATATTGTTTTCTTCTATCTTTTATAACCAACAGGTCATTAGAATTAATTTGACAAATTTCTTTTCAGTTTTTTAACAATTTGTTTTTTTTTCTTTTCACTCTCTCTGATAATAACCAAAATCCTTTCTTTCAGTTTTCTATTTTTAAAAATGTAATTTAAAACTTGTTAAAAATGGAAAATTTAAGTTTTCTTATTTTTTCTTTTTTTTTCTTTTTTTTTTTTTTTTTTTTTTAATTTTTATAAAAATAAAATTTTAATATTTTCAGCAAAACCTTTTTTTCTCCAACTCCATAACATTAAAAACTTGAAGTATTAGTTTGTTTCTTTGTTTTTTAACATTAAAATTTACCCTATACAAGACACAAGAGCCAATCACTGTAGAGGATTATTGTTTAAATTATGAGGTGTGACAAGTGAAATAGGTGATAGCAAGTGAGGATATAAAGAGGATAGATAATGATTGACCCTTGACAAGGGAAGCATTCATGTAGGAGTCTCTTCCACAAAGTAACTGGGACTTTCTTCTTACATTAGGAATATGGAGGAAATGAAGATTTGTTTCTATGAAAGTAGTCTGGTATGTTCTAGCTGTAAAGGTCTGAACTTCTGGTACTAAAGAATGGCACATTCATCTGAACAATTGCCATGGAAATGTGACAGTGTAGCGATAGGCTTGTGATTTTGCATCTATGAGGAAAGAATCTGCAGAGAAGAGAATAGAACACCACATGACCATGTAAACAATGTGTGCAAAAGTTTCCAACTGTTTTTAAGTTTTGTGCTGCAAACTTTTGCACACAGTATTGATCAATAAAGGTTATTTTTAATCTTTTTTTTTTTTTTTTTTTTTTTTTTTTCAGACTGGATTTATTTCAAAATTTTTAAATAATTTTTTATGGACTATCATTTCAATTTTCAAAACTGTCTACCCAAATTGACTCTTCTGTTGACGTTTTTCCAGTAGAATTCCATTAAAGGAAGAAAGCAGTTATCATTGGTCAGGAATTAATGTGTTACTGATAGAAGAGGGTTGTTATATGTATTGGGTGGGTGCTGAACATTTCTTGACCAGTCTACATTTAGAACTTTAAAAAAAAAATGATCAAATGTCAGAATTTTCATAATTCCTTTCTAGGTCAGATTGAGAAGTTTTCAGCACCCACTTCATATCAGACAATAGTCAATATGATTCATTTGTTTTCTGTGGATTATCAACCCATTGCAGGTTTATGATAGATATATCATGTAGTTTTCAAGGCAACTACTAAAACTTGCTGATAATTTGGGATAGTTAACATTGGATGGAATGTCTTATTGTTTTTACCGTTCTTTCCTTCTTTTTTTTTTTTTTTATGCATATGATATATATTTGGTATACATTTGCTTAGATCCAGCTAACTTTTAAATAGGAGTTGACATGCCATTAAATCCAACATCCATCCATCCAGCTAACTTTTAAAGAAATATATGCAACGTCTTAAAATTAGAATTTTTCGCATATAAATGATAATGTTTCTTTAGGATCTTCAGTCAATGATTTTTTTTTTAAATTGTTCTATTTACCACACGCACATATACGCATATACACACACACATACATACATATACATACATATATACATACATATATATATATATATATATATATACATACACAGGCAATGAAAAAGTTTGAAGGGAGGGAATATTATTTCAAATCTTTTACATATGCTCATTGCTTTATGGGTGATTACACTAGAGTTGTTATTGTGCAACATATAATTTTAAATTTAACATTTTGACATAATTTGTTCTAAAATCTGAAATTCTTTTAAATTGTAAAATGTTTTCATTTATCTTTGTGTAAAATATTTTCCAAATTTTCACAACACTCATTGCCCCACCACCACTTTTTTTTCTTTTTTTTTTTTTTTTTTTTTTTCCATTATTGCCTGCATAGGTAAAGGTAGTTATGGGAAGGAATTACTGAATGGCTCACTTAAATACTCTGTCAACTATTGTAACATACCAGTGATGAGATTTTGTCAAGATATCTGGTGTTGAAACTGAGTGCAGGGAGAAATCGTTTCATGCTCTTTCTCAGAGAGCATTAGTGCAGGTTGAACACAAGCAGCCTTGGCCAAAATTTGAGCCCAGTTTGTTATTTTTATTTTCCTTGCTAGTAACCTTTTATGGTGCTAATGTGACCCCCAAATCCCCGGTATCCTGGTTGGTCACTGCCCTGCTCGATCTGTATTGGCATCTTACACTCCCCTTCCCCAGACACACATGCACACACCTTATTTCTTTCAAAGAAATCTCCATGCTTGCAATATGACTTCTATATTCTGGAAAGACATATTTTCATTATTCCATATTTTATTAGAAGCTTCATCCTTTTGGTTGCTTTTTAGAATTTCTCATAATAAAGTAATTTTCACCTCCCCTACTTGAACAGTGCCTCTTTGGTTCATACTATTGTCCATGAATGCAAAGGAGAGTTCAACCTGAATTTTTTCTGAAACTACTTATTCATTCTGAATTCTTCCAGATTAATGGCTGAAGAGTACGTTTGCCATAAATTCTGATAAAAAACAAAAAAAAAACAATCAAAAGATGAAACTAAAAGTAATAAAATTTATATAAAAATTGGTGAACTTTGTCTTGATATTCATCTATCTTATTTGAACTTTTTAAATTTTATGGTGTATCAAAAGTATTTTGTTAAAAGTTTTTAATCCAAAGCTTATTTTATATACACAGACCATAATTCCCATATATAAGTGTGTGTGTGTCTGTCCTCATTAATAATATTCAGCTGCATATTTTGTTTCAGACATTATAATGATGAATACAAGCATTGGAGATGTTGAAAATTTTGAATCACTATTTTAAACTGGTCCTCAAAGCCACTAAAGCAGCACAGAATTTAGGAAGTCGAAAGAAATGAAACAATATCTGCTTCTACTGCCCAAAATTGGTTTAAGAATTTTATTACTTGTAACATGTCAATTAAAGGCTTGAAGTGGAAAAATCATCACTTGTGAATTATGATGCTTTAAACAAGGTAGATTTTGGCACTCCAAAACTTTCAGAAGAGCTAGGATCATCAGATTTGAGCTTGAAAAAACACTTATGACATCTCTGGAGGTTAAAAAAATACTTTTGATATACCTAAATCCTTCTGCTTAGCTGATGCTGTCTGATTTATAAAAAAAAAATTCCTGTCTTGTATTTTCTAATTAGCACATGAATTTCTTTGAATAAAAGGAATTTTTTTTATTCTTTTAATTTTAAGGCTAACTTTTTCAGTTAATCAATTCTGATTATCCAGTTTTTAATTATAATTCTCATTTTCTTTAACAATGTTAGACTATTTGAACTATTTGTGTAAACATTCATTAATTATAAGGCTCATTCAGAATCAGTATGTCAAAATGTATAATGAAGTACTTCTAAAATCCACAAAAATCTGTAAATATCACTTTAAAAATTCAACACAATTTACAAAAATTAATTTTAACTTTTTTTTTTTTTTTTTTTTTTTTTTAGTGACTTGATATATAGGCCAAATTTCCGGTGATTGATGCTTTAAGGTGCCTCTGGTTAGCATACTAGTCTTGCAAGCCATTGCCAGTGAGTTTGATCCAGGTTGGTTCTCACAGTCAGAGTGCCTTATGCCAGACTAATCTAACCATAGTAAATATCTTTTATATCTCTCATTGACCATATTTGAGATCGTATTCATTATAAAATCTCTGATCCTTTCATTGGCTGCATAGTGTGTGCTTTTCCAGAGCTACACACAATTTTGAATTTAGTGTTGTGCTTTTCCTAGACTGGTTGCCAACCTTGGTTACAGAACTCAGTCTATTCTAAAAATATCAGACATTTGATGAATGTGATAAATTGTCATCCTACAAAGTTGTATTTTTTAATTTTAAATTTATTGTCCAGTTTTGTGTAATTCTTTTTGGGAACTTTCATATTATGAAAGGAAACAGTTCCCCCAATATAAAAATTGGTTGATCTTTAATTTTTGGAAATTGTGAGGAAATAATTGTATTTCGTCAGTATTTTCTATTTATTTATGATCAGAGCTTTCCAAACTGTTTTTCCATTACCAACACACTTTTTTTAAACAATTCTGACAATATAATAAGTTTTGTTAGCCTAATGACATATATATATATATATATATATATATATATAAGTTATGAAGAACTTGGTAAACCGAATTGGTAAATCCAAGGAGGATGAAATCCTGAGAGCTCAATGTGAAGAACAGAGCTAATATTTAATGAAAAACCGACCACTTTAAGGTACCATTACAATATTAATTATATATATATATATATATATATATATTTATATTAAGAAATGATTTAAAGAAAAAATTAGTAATTAATTAGGCTAATTTTTTTTATTTTTTGTTTTTCAGATCTGTTCAGCACCTGAGAAAACTAAATCCTAATAGTTGAATGATTAACATCTGGAAAATAATTTCCCCATCTACTCAAATCTGCATGACATCAACAAAAACTGTCCATCTTCATAAGATGGCTACAAGCTGACACAAAAACCAGCCTAAATAAAAAAAAAAAAAAAAATTTACTATATAGGTATTGGTGTATGTTATAATTGTTATCTCTTGACTTCTAATTAAAAAAAAAAATAATGAAAATAAATTTCTGGACAGAATGAGTCAAAAGTTATAAAACTCTTAGTAAATTTTTGTTTTCTTTTGTTTCCAATTTTCAGAAATTTTTATCTGAATGATTTTATATAATCTAACATTGACTGCAACTGCCACTAATGATTCCATCTTTGTTGTACAACTTTTGACTCACTCTGTACATGCAACAATTTCTTTGTGTTTTCCTTTGAGATATTTTCTTTCAGTTTCTGATTTTACAAAGAATATAAATTGAAGCCTGCAATCGCTGACATGAAAAATGTGTGTTAGTTTGATATGAAAAATCAGGTGTAACTGTCTATTTTATATCTACATTGCATCAATGGCCTCTCCCATGCAGACACAGATCAATGAGTAAATTACTCATGGGTCTGAACTTTAGCCCAGAAACAATTCAATATGAAATAGCTTTCAGAAATGAATGCTAGAATTCATTGACTTTTGTGTGTGTTTTCTTGGATTTTTTTTTTTTTTTTTTTTTGTGACCCGAAAGTCACAATAAATAAAAAAAAAAAGGCTTAATGTTCTGATGCATCCATTTATCTACCTTAATATAAGAAGTTAAATATTGGGTTTGAATAAACAGGTTTTTCTAATATTTTGATGAATCTTCTGCTCCAAAGGGCTTTTAACTAAGAAAAAACATTGAATTATTACTACTACTATTATCATAATAATAATACTAATAGTAATAGTAATGATCTTGAAAATAAAAAATGTTTTCAAAAATGCATCTTTTCCTGGTGTTTTCACCCTAACATGTCAGAGAAAGTATATTTACAAGATGAGGAAGAAGACATTCATTTCATTCTTGTTACCTGACAGCAATTTTTTTTTTCTCATTCTTTGTTATATGCAGAGAGTACTGAAAGATTTGTAGACTACAGACTTTTCAGAACTTCACACACAGTGGGCCAAAAGTTACTATAGCATTACTATTTTATAAAGACTGTTCTATTTAGCCTCAAACAGGGTTGTTTTTCATATTTTATATTAATTTTTGACATTTTGGTCACTATATTATATATTCATATCAATCTCAGTGGAATAGAGGAAAAACAAACAAACAAACAAACAAACACATTTAAAATTATTGTATTACAAATACTATTTTACTGATATTCTCAAAGAATATTGTAATTTATTGCCTTGGTTATAGTTCTTGTATGAGTAAATCTAGAATGTTTATTCATACAGTTAACTATAGTTGTGTGTAAGAATATTCTATTTTTAAAATAAAACAAAAAAATCTATTGGTGGCATAAAGCAGTAGATTAGCAGTCTTATCTCCCATATTTGTTATTTAGCTTACTGGTGCCAATGTCTCTGGTTACCAAAAATTTCATTTATTAGACATGAAGATGAAACTGCATAACCAATAAAGTTGGTGTTTTATTATATAAATTTTATTTTATAACAGCATTTGGTATAAAGAGGTTAAAAAGAAAAAAGGAGTTTTCAGATAAAATCTTGAAATATAAATGTGTGAGAATTCCAAATGCCCACAATATTGTTTTTATATTAGAGCTTTTTTTAATTTATTTTTTCCTGTAACTTAATTTTTATATATATAAAATATTTTATATATTCTTTGATGCCCCCTACTTAGTGAGTCATTATTTATCACACCTTAGAATTATAGTCAAGGGAGACAAATTTCAGTTGCCTGGGGTGAAATGAAAACTTAGATTATGAAATAACAGGCAATGCTAGTCATGTACCGTATATTTCCATGTATGAGGTGACCTATACATAAGACCTAAAATCTAGGTAAATTTTTGTGATTCTATCTGATATCCATATTATAAGACCAAAAATGTAGACTAGCCTATGTCACCAGTAGCCCTTAGGCCTATCATAATGATTCCTACAAGTATAAAATAAAGCTGATATTATTACAAATACTGTTTTGTTTACCTTTATCATTATCAAATCAAAAGGAATGAAATAATATAAAGTGATGACAATGAATCTTTATGCAAAGATTAACAATGATTTCATTCTTACCACTTGTACGAATGTATGTTATTAAAAAATAAAGTTTGTATGTTATACTAAATGTTATTTAACACTACTCTGAGAAATAATGATTGGTGTGAATGCACGTATAGCTCTACAGATCAAGATCAAAAGATTTCTTTACATATGCGTGTTGCTCAGTGGAATGTTTGCAAATTTTTGTGTAATTGTCTCTTGAATACAGCATTTTAATGTGAAATCAAGAAGTAGTTTTGTCACATTTATAACTAGTGCAGCAATGTAATGGGAATATTTTTAACTAGAAATATGTACATTGTTAGTTACCATATCGAGGCAGTTGCTAGCCTCCCGTGATCCATGGCACAAGCATACTAGCCTATTTACCAGTGCCAATACACTACAGGATTTAAGGTTAGCTTTTTGTAACTGTTGTATTAGATGACCTATTTTGGGTGTTAATTTTTAAAGGTTGCCTTATATATGGAAATATACAGAAATAATCCACTTACGTAAAACATTGCATATATATTTTTTCTGCACAAAAGCCACCTTAATCTACAAATTCTTAAATTACCTACTTTCAAATGAATGTTTTGAACAATATCTTCACATGTTGAATCTATGGGTGTCATTTACAGAGCTGAACTTCACTGTCTGTTGCTAAAGTTTCAAATTTGAGGGGGAGCAAAGAATATTCACTAACCTATAAAAATAATCATGGATAAGTCTTAGACCACTTTGCTTAAGTCAAGTAAATAGAAATATTTTAATCAAAAAAGAAAACTTTTTGTATTCCAAAGATGAAACATACTAGATTGTTAGTATTTTATGTGACTTTCTTTAGTTTTTAAATAATGGCTTTAATCTGCCATGGAAGAGATTTGTACAAATCCTATGTTAATTCAGTGGGTATATGATTCCATTCTCTCTGGCCGTTTTCTTGTCATTCTTCAACATTACAGGAATTCTTTAGACAAACTCTTTTCTTTAATTCTGTCCACAATTTATATCCAGGTTTTGTGCTGGCCAATCTTAATGCGTTTACATTTTCATCAGCTAGATATTGTTGAGTTGCACAAAATTTATGGCATGGAACTCTGTCATGCTGAGAAATGTCACTGTCATTCAAATAAGGAATCAATTGTTCATTCGGTAATTCAACGTAGTTAATGCTATTTAAGTTCACATCCATTTTGTTCTACTTTCTAGAACCATCATTTTTTTTATATATCCCCAAAGCATACTCTAGTCTCCAAACTTTACTGTTTTTATTGTATAGCAGGCATCATTTCATTTTCCTTTCAGTCCTGTAAAAAATTCTCTCTTGTTAGAATGCAATTCAATTTTTGTTTCATCACTAAATACGCTTTTACTCCAATTAAATGTGTCCCACATTTCCAACATCTTAGACCACTCTTACCTGACCTTCAAATGCTTGTTGTTTTTTAGCAACTATACACCCCGCCATCAATGCATTTTGCAATTGTCTTGCAATCATTTTTAGTTGATTTTTTTTTTATTGTTCAGTTTATGGACTGTCCTTTGTAGCTTTCAATGATGACCTCATCTTAATTGATCGATACATCTTCAGTCTCTTGAAACTTCAAAAGAACTTAAGAAACAGCACATATCTTGATATTCAAAGATTCATAGCTATTTTTGTCTGGCTCATATTCATAGACATTTGCACAATCTTCATTCTGTTTTCTTTTGTTTTTATTTTTTGTCATTTTAATCCTGATTTCAATTGATTGAAGAACTCTTAATAATTTAAGCAAATTATGCTGAGATGAAAATAGGCACCTCCACAAATTCATTAATAAAGAAGAAACATAATATGAAAAAATACCCAAAACATAATAAAAACAAAATTTTATCAGTAAAATCTTTGTGCTATTATTAAAAAATGATTCTTTTTAGAAAAATTTTGTAAAAATATTTTTTTTAAATCTGTTACCCAACCCATACACACATTTAATCTTTATGAAATTCAGAAATTCTTTGTATTGCTTAATGTTTATATTTGTTATGAGGACAAGTCCTCAGAGAATTTAAATTGTGTTGGTCAAACAAGACTCCCAGTTATAGAAATCTACCCTAAATCATTAAATAAAACTTAAACATTTTTTAATTAAGAAGCTTTTAATTGCTTTTATGAATAAAATATATTATGGACACTATTGTCTTAAGAAAAAAAATTTTTTTTTTGAATAATGAATTTTTACAAGAATTGTTTTTATTTTAATTAGTATCATAAATTTTTAAGTCTTAAAATTCTGTATTAATTTGTAGTGATTAAGTGATACTGTTATTAAATAAAAATGATTTATTAATAATAAATGGAAAAGCTTAGTACAATTCAGTGACCCCCAACCCTCTAGTATTTTAAAAAGAATTTTGTGTGTGTGTGTGTGTATATATATAAACATGTCAATTTTTGTAAATATGGGCGATCATACATGGCATTGTCAGAGTATAATTGGGGTACCTAAAATAAATTTAAAATTTATTGGTAATTTTCTCAACTGCACATCTTTGTAAATAAGGCTATAAATCCAAAGTACCTAAAATTCAATAAAATACTAGATTGATTAGAATATTTTTTTAAATTTCTATGATTAAGGTTAGTTAAAAAAAAAATTATATAAAAATGAGGCATTTGTTATGAAATTTTTTCAATTATATCCTCCATAAACTTTCTAAACCTCAGGCTGTCAATAAATTACTCAACATGTCAGCAAAACACTCCTCTCCATGTTAAAAAATGCTTTTCTGGGACATTTTAAACTAAAAGTAAGTAATATT